ATATAGCCCCTTTAATTGCTGGTCATCAAACTAAAGTGTATAAAAAATTAACATGTATGACCACTCACGCACACGCACATATGAGTACACAGATGAGAAAATCCAAACAATTTTATTTACAAACACAGTACCTTTATAAAGAATGATCAAGAGTTCATAAGGAATGAGTTCCTTTTATTAGAGAGACCAGCATCATTTTTGTTCGTTGGTAATTAAGACATGATTGGGAAACATGTGATGAAGCCAAGCATATTTTAGTGTCATTCTATTAGTCAACACGTTTGCTTTGTGCATACGTAAAAAGAGAGTCTGTAAAAAGGATCTAAGGAAGAGCAGGTTTAAATCTTATTTACAAAGCCTCCTTCAAACACAGTAAAAACAAAAGAGACAAGTATGCAGCTAAGCATGTTCAAAAAAAACTCTGTTTTTATCTGCACAATATTCCAGTGGCTAAAGGCTTTTTTGTTGTTCTTGTTGCAAACTGAATCTTTACAGTTCAAAGTATAGTGAAATATAAACATAATAAAAGCTACATCACAACAGCAAAAAAGGGGCAGCAACCATCTTCATCCTCACACCTAAACTCATCAAGGACTATACAATTAAAGTTTTGTGTTTACATCTTCAAGTGCGCTGTGATCAGTAGAGGCTTAAGTGTAAACGTGATCCACTGATGGCTGAAGCAGGCACACACAAAGCCAAGAGCAGAGTAAAGTCATGCACAGTCAGCATTTCGTGGTTATGAACAACGTTAACGGAGAGCAATTCCAAGGGCACCTTAACGTGTTTTATGTGTCCTTCGATTCAAGAGTCAAACCAACATCTAATTTGACGTTAAGGTATTTGTTACAGGCAATACACACGGGTGAATTGCTCATCATTTAGAGGGTTTTGATACCTCATAAGGCAAAATGGCATAAGAAAAAAATATTGACAGCTGGGTTGCTCAGCAGCACTATGCTGTTTTACAGGATATCAAAGTTTTGTATAACTGTCTGGCTTTCATCCCAAACCACAACAACCCAAGAAATCAGTGGGGATGCAACAAATTCTCACCTTAATTAAATCCTTTCAGTAGAAATTTGGTATTTGGGAAATTAGGCTGCTGAAAACTGTCTATATTAGCAGTTTTTTACAAACTCAGCAGGTACATAGGAAATAAATTACAAAAGTAGACAATTAGATATTACAATTACGATTAGTGTTTGGAAGTATTAGTTAAATATCAAGGTTTTGGCTTTGTTTGACACAAACATTAAGTTGCCAAACCCGGAGGTTGTCAAAGAAAAAAAAAGGAGAGAGAGAGAATGCAAGAGAGGGAGATACAGGGGTGCAAAGACACCCTCTGCAGGCCCATTTCAGTGTAAATATCTGTGCAGTTAAGTAGAAAAACAACACCTCTGTACAGCGAAGCCACAAGAATACTTCACAGAAAATGACATCACTATGAAGACCACTTTTCACAATAAAAACAAGCATTCTTGTGGACAGAAACTCAGATGTAACTACAGTGATATGACCGCAGAAAGGAGTTTGTGGAAAAAAGGAAACATCAGGCTTGCCGTGTTCAACATGTGTTAACAGGAGCAAAGGCAGTCATGGGAAAAAGGCAGTTCACCCTCTTTCAATGGACTTATCAGAACTTACCAAATATAATCTGGTTTTTACCAGGTTATAAAACATTTTAATCAAACCTTAATGTACATCAGATGTCACCATGTCATTTTTAAAACAAAATAAATACAAAATGAAAGGATTACGCTCCTTCCAATGGATTTAATAAAGTAAGCAGCCTAGTGTAAAAGCAGGTGTGTGTTCACACAATGTGAAAGTGGATGGACACCAGCAATGGCCAATTGATGCTTTCCACCAACCTGCAAAAAGCACTTAAATTATTGCACACAACTGCTGCTAATTTGTCGAGCTTTGTGCATTCTGTAAACCATTTGCTCAGACTCTATACTTCTTTTTGTTAAACATAATAGTTCTTTTGTTTAGACTGCACAGTCATTATGTAAATACTGAGCCGAGATTAAACAAAATCTCGCTGTGCTAAGGCATAATGACAATAAAGATTCTGGATTTTTAAATGACAATTTCCCAAACAAGTTGGTGTCCATCGTTCTACAGCAATAAAGATTGTTCACATAGGGACAAATACAGCTGCCAATACCAGGAATGATGTGTCAGCAAATTTATTCCGAGGTCAGACTATGCAATTCAAGAAATGTCCAAGAACCCTCCATCCCAGACTTTACAGGCCTCACGTAGGAAGGTTAAAGCAAGGTTAAAGTTTAAAGCAGGACAGTTAGAAAAAGACTGTCTAGTTTGGGAGAAGGAAAATGTATTTTGTCTAGAAAAATAATACGGCAGCACACTTTACACTGAATGGACCACTAGACTTTAGGAACAATGTCCTTTGAGGAAGAAAATGAGGCCAAAGTAGAAAAATGTGACTAATGTACGTGTCATTTTTGAAAAATAAATAAATACAACATATCAGCACAAACACATCAAACCAACTCTGAAGCACGGAGGGGAAAGGGTGATGATCTGGACTTGTTTTTCAGCAAAAACAAACAGACAAACATTGTGAGACCATCTGTCCAACAGATAAAGATTTAGGGTGTGGCCAATCCTAAGGGTTTAAAAATGAGGCAATTGGATTGAAGACATTTTGCTTCCCATTAAAGGAGCCTTTTCAAGTCAAAACGTGTGGTGTTCCAAGCTTAAAATCTTGGAATTCAGCCTGTTTTTGTACACTTATTATTTAAATAATTTTAGAAACAGGTAAACAACAGTTAGTTTTATGTCCTGATACATACAGAATTGAAAAAGGGTAGACTTCTATACCCATGACTGTAAGTACTGTGTAAGTAAGTGATGTATTAAAAAACACACTCATCCATTTAAAAACAGGAAAAAGAAAATCGAGGGATCACCTGCACCTCCCTGTGTGCACTTTGATAATTCCACGAGTGTGCATGTGAATGAAGTTAAAAATTTCATGGGGCATAGCATGAAAACCAGGCCGTGGCTTGACATTGTCGTAGTAGTGGTGCGTGATGAAAATGCCAGAGGGGTTCATGGGAAAAGCCCAGAATCCATAGAGGTGGACCTCCTCACACAGCTCCAAGGCAGCAGTCACCAGCATCAGGCCGCTGCTCAGCCGCTTCGCCCGGACCCCCTGCACTGCCCAGAAACGCTGCACATTCAGGAGATACTGTGGGTGGAAGAAGAACACGCCCCTTTGGGAGTCGAAATCGTCCAGCATGTACTTGACTCGGAAAGAAACATCGGTGTTGCGGGTGTTGTAGAAGGCGGGCAGCACCACAGAGGAGTTCTCGTAATTCTGAAGGACTTCATAAAAAGGTCGGCGCCATTTCTCCAGCTTCTGAAACCTGCACAAGTAAAGAGACATAAAATGATAAAAACAACACAAAAAACAAACAGATGTAATCATCTCTCCCTCAGATCCATAAAAACACACCTCTCAGTAATAATGCTTGGATTTATTGTCACCAGGTCTGTTTTAGTGCCGACATCTGCAGAGTACTTCTCATTAATGGGTGGCACGTTACATCTGCAAAAAGACAGAAAAGTGTACTTGTAGTCTTTTAAGAACCTCATCCATATTAAAATCGCTGGGGCTGTGCATTGTTAACCTCACAACTAGATTCAATTTAATTTCTTTGGGTCACAATTTCATTTGATTCAATATTGCTTTAAATGCTTTATCCATTTCTTAAAAAGAACAAGTACATAAATAATCAAGTAGAGTCCCAGTGGATAATTCTTTCTTTCTTGCCCATATAAACAGAAAAGGTAAACATTAACATTTCAGAGAAACAAAATATCTGAAAACAAAGCAGTAGCACAATAATGCTTGTTCTAAATATGGAGTGAAAACAAAAACTTGAAAAACTCAGGCCTTAAAGGGAAAACAAAACGCTCCTGATCCTGAAACCTTTTTGTGGTGGTGATTGGAATGACATCATAACAAATTGCTCTTGCCAATCTGTGCAAAAATCCACACTTTAAATGACACACAATGAATGGGACAGAGGGTATTCGCTTCCATACATCAGAGCATGAGGCAAGTCAATTGATTGGCTGTGTCGTTTGTGGCATTGACAAATGTGCGCCACATGAACCAAACAATAACCAGGCCAATAGTGGCACATGAATCAGTTGTGATGTTGAAAGATTTGAACCACAAACCAGAACTGGGCCAGTTGTGGCATTCTATCTTAAAACTGTGACATCATTGTTAGACATGGCCCACAGCTGGTTGACAAACCACTTGTCATGCCAGCAACCAGCCAGCTTGACACCAGGTCTGGCCCACACCTGTCTGCTATGTGGGGGTGTACAGTTATCACAGACCTCTGCAATCTTGAATCCCTAAATGCTTGAAATATTATATACTTTTTATACCTGAAAACAAAATCTGATGAATCAATTTCCTTTCCACATTTGCTGTTCTTGATGATGCCACCGTTTCCAATAACAGCACATTTTTTGAACTGTGACTTGGAATATGGCATGTCCTGGAGGAGACAAAGGTTCATCGTATCAATTTCTGAAGTTTTTTGAGAATTAGTAGATTGGACACATCAACAACTAAAGAGAAGAAAACAGCAGGAAAAGGGCAGCCATTGATAAACTCACATCTGGGAACATCTTAAAGATCTCCGTGGTAATGGGAAGGATCCCACTGGTGTCCACCTCGTACCTCAGTTTGGTTCCTGCAGGAGTGTTCCTCTTGGTGGTGAAGAGAAAGGACGGAGCATTACAGCAGCGGGACAGTGACATCCTAAAGAAGACCAAATGTAGTATAACTTATTGTTTAATTGACATTTTTTTATCTTGTGATCCTTTGACGAGGTGTAAAATTCATAATAAATCAACCTTTAAAACTGTTAGCAGTGGGCTGGCACACTTATTTTGAAAAAAAAAAAACTTTATAAATGGGTGATACTTACCTAAAGTTGCCGGTCTCCTCCTTGTTTTGCTCCCACTTACACACCTGCAGATTCTGCCACCTCTCAAACAGTTCTGAGGTTTTAACCCTGACACAAAAACAGGCAAAACTGTGCAATGAGGACAAACACCCAAGACAATGTTGTTCTTTCTTCCCCAGATTTATAAATAAGTAAAAATAGAACCACCAGTCTGTGAAAGCTCAAGTAATGCAACTTGCATTTTTAGAAATGCTTTATGAAAGTATTATTTTAAATTAGGGGTTAATAAACTGACTTTTTCATTTAGGCTAATCACACTGAAGCTATCTCTGCCAGAAGAGAGGTTCTGTATATAGGTTATGAATAATTAACATTTTACCTTTTTTATTTTTTTAACAACCTCAGTTTGAAGAAATTAAGCTTAAGTTTCATGCAACTGAAGAGTGAACAGCTAGTTCAATAGTGGTCAAACTAAAGTGGACCTCTGCCAACTTGAAACAATTTCAATGTCCAAAATATTTAAGTTCATGTGTTTATATTATCATCAATTTTGCATTACATGTTAATTTACATAGAGTTTTATTACTTGCAAGAGTAAACAGTTGCCAGCTATAGCACTTTCTGCAGGAATAGTATAGCATTTATTCAAAAAAGAATGTGTAATGCAAAACTGACAGTAGTGTAATGTTTACAAAAAAGTGTTTGCATGAAGTGCTATGACATTTGGAAAATCAGAGTTGTTTAAAAGAGACATATCATGCTTCTAAATCATTTAGTTGGGGTCTATATATAGTGGAACTACAATACTTTGGTCTGAATTCCTCATTATTGTAACTCCACAAACCCCTCTTTCACCCCTTTTCTGAGGTGTGTCTCAGAGCAGTTATCAACTCATTTTGATGCTGTTTCTTTAAATTCAAACAATGCCTTACACACCATGCCCTCCTAAAGCTTCCTGTGTGGTCCCTTGTACCTTGATAGATGGGTTGATGAGTATATATAGCAGCGCAGAAACTTTTTATTTATACATTAATTAAAAGATGTCAACAAGGGAAGACCTGTGCCTCCAGCTTTCCAGGTTGGAGCCAGAGTTTGACCCAGAGCCAGAAGAGAATGAAGACAACAAAATTGTAGTTGGTATGTCCAGACCTTGTTTAGTAATTCTGTCACAAATACTGTGACATAATAGTTCAGAAAATGTCATAAAAAATAGAGAAAAATACAACAAAATTGATATTAGCTAATGCCTTAAATGTGATTTTGCGTATGTCCATTTTAAAGATGGCTGAAGTCAGCTTATTAAGTGATGGTTCTTTATTAGCTCGTCAATCTGGTCAGAATTAAACTCTGTTTCTCTAATGTGAAATTGTTCAAAGACCTATTTACAATTGATACAACCTTAGCTGCCGATAAGCTTTTCACGGGACCCTCACAAGTCCTTTCGCTCACAGCCCAGAATGAATTTGATGATAAGCTTTGAGAGCTTCAGGGCTGTTCACACAAAAGGTCACTGAACAATGTTCATAATTCATCCTACAGAGAGAAGCTGCTGAGATTGCTGTTAGCACAAGTGGCTAATTAAGTAGTGTAATGAATCTGGGCACTAATCGAATGTTTAATGGGAAATGTTATTTATAGCTCACTCTTGAAACTGACGAAAGGGCTGCAGCAACTCTAATGAAAACTTTTGTCAAAGGGCCTTAAGTGTCATCTCCTTTGTGTTTGTCAGTTTGTAGTTTTGATGTTGCTTTGCAAGTGCAAAGTGTCTTTAAGCAATTTCAGCTAAAAAAAAACATACTAAAGATAGAGCAATAAATTTGAATCATCCAGTTTATAAGTCAGACTCTCACATTGCCATTCTTTCAATTTAAAGTCATAAAGAATGTGCAAACTTAAATTTAACGGATAAACTGATGTAAAAACAATTGATCAAAACACATAAACATGTACAGGAGGAAATGCATCATTCTGGCTACAAACTACAAAAATCTTATGTTGAGATTTAATAAAATTGTGGCCACATTGGTCAAATCTCATAAATTATAAATGTGTAATGTCACACATTATTGTCTGTCAGCACTGTTCAGTGTGTGTTCAGGATAACTCTCAGCTACTACCACAACAAGTTGTAGTGCATTACCTCTAAAAACTGACTGAGTTTTAATCAATTTTGTATTTGCTGAGGTTGATTAGCTGTGGCAGCCATTTTGAATCAAAACTTGATCCGTTTACAGTGGTCCCTCCAATGATTGCTTTTAAGACCTTTCATTGAAATCTGCCCAGCAGTTCATGAAATATTTGGCCTAAAGACAAACGAACACACACATGCTTTCGCGCAAAAACATTATCGTCATGAACCTTACAGTACATGGTGCACTACTTTTTATAAACCATTTTTTTTTGTCTTGACATTTGTATTTTGGTTAATGTTTTATGGTTCTTTGTAGGATTTAGATCTTCTCGGTCTTTCTTTTCTTTGGTAGTCTTGTGTTGTTTTTGTTTCCTGTTAAGTTTCCTCGTGCTATTCATCCTCATTCAGCTACCCTCCCCTGTTCCCAGTCCCTATTTTGGCCAGCTGTTTCCAATACCTTGTTACCTCTGCTCTATATAACCATCTCCTGCCACCACAACATCAGCAGGTCATTGTATCAGTCCTCAACATGTCTTGGGATCTCCCGCATCCTGTCTTGTTTTTTCCTGAGTTTGTTTTGCTGCCACGCCATGTTTTATTTTTGTTTAAAAAAAAGTATTTTAGTGTGACTTTTATGTTCCCCAAGTTGTCTACATCTGGGTCCATCATGGCTGTGGTAGAATGATCTATTGAGGTTGTGGTGACACGAGACCGGTTGTCTAGAGTCGAGGCAACAAGGTATTGGAAGCAGTTGACCTAATTGGGGACTGGATGGCTGACTGACTGAGGATGAATGGCACAGGAAACACAGGGAAGCTGAACCCATTTATTTTCATGGTACATACATTTCTCACAACAGAAAACTTTCATGACAATCATGAGACTGTTTTATGTAATAGCTTTCGAGCAGGTGCGTGATAACCCCCCCCCCCACCGTCACAGCAGATGTGAAATATGCCATCAAATCCATCTCACTCACATTGTCAGAACCTTGACATCCATAATCTCTTGCCTGAGCTCCCTGCATGCCGTGGAGTTGTACTCAAACGCTCCATCATAGTTTTCCAGATACCTGGAGGGAGAAACACAGTCATCTGCTGCCTGCAGCGACCAGCACACAACGTTAAAAACAAACTGTTTAAATCATTTGTCATAGCTACAGAAATTAACATGACGCATATTTCAAATTGACAGCAAAATGTCTGTGGCTTGACTTTATGAAACATTACAATATAGCAGTTTGGGATGACAAATGACGAACGTGATGCATCTGATTTTAGGCATCACAGACAGGACCGTAACATACTATTTTTATTTTTAGACACTTGCACCAGATTCTAAAACATCTTAGACTAAACCAACTTAGTGAAGAAATATTGCACCTCTCTTTTTTTAATTGATTAAACTGGTTATTATGACAACCTGTGATGACGTTGAGCTGGTGTTAAAATGTATTTATGTACTTGTGATTCACAGAAATTAATTTAAAAGTTTTTGAAATGGATAGAGTTGATTATAGTGCATTTAGTTTAAATGGTGGATCAGGTCTGGTGGATATGAGTATGGGGTGTGTTTTAGCCAATACTCTAAATGGCATTAGTGCTGACTGCTGTAACACAACAGTTTGGCTGAGAGTCTGAATTTGGTAAAATATTAAACCATTTTTAAACAGTTTGATCAATTTATTTAGCTATTATTCAGTTGAAATGATCAAACAAACAAGAACTTTGAATTGAACTTTGAAGAATTTATTTTTATTGTCTAATGCCACTTAGCTTTGGTACGGTTGTTTTTAAAAGCATTTTTGCTCATTGTGCAACTTAAATATGTGTAAAAGAAGTTGTCTCATATCTTGTAGCACAGCATCTTTCCTACATGTAAACAGCGTAGTGAGAATAAAATTAATGACTGTGCATTTTGGGGCTAGAGTGAAGATTGACGGGAGGATCAGAAAACCACCACTGAAATGTTTAGCCTTTGGATATTCTTTTTTTTTTTTTTAGAGAGAGAGAGCTGAATGGAATTTCTGTAAGTTACAAGAAATGTCAAAAAAATAAAGCAGAGATTTTCAGTAGAAAGATTATGAGCAGTATCTTACCTGTTGCAGATGGGTTTTTTCCCCCAAAATATCCCAATTTGGAGAAATAGAGCCTAATTTGGACCAGATAAACGTGCTAACGCAACTTCAAGTGAGATCAAGACCAAAGTGATTTGCTGCCATTTTAAAATGATTTAAATTCTATCACTTGTACTGTGGTTTCTGTAAATGTTATTTCAGAAACCTTTTACTGCTATTGGTTTTGCACTGCAAAATAGACGTTAGTGGTTATTCACGCTAAAGACTGTTGGTTTAAGCTGTGTGAAGCACATTTTGCTAAATTAAATGCAACTTGGCAGAAAAAATGATGAAAAAGTAAGGCAGTGCAAAAAAAATTGCAGCAATTTAAACAAAATCCGGTATTTTTTTTTCTTTTATGTCCTGCCTTTTCATCAGGCTGAGTACTGTTTGCAACATGTATTTTACTCACAGCAGGGCTGTCAAATTCATTTTCACCGAGGGTCATAGTTATGGTGGCCGTCAAAGGGCCAGTTGTAATTGACTTCAATGTTTCATGCTTCAACTAAGCAAAAAAAAAAAAAAAGTCATGGTCCTCATTGCTACGGCTGAACACCACTAACAAACAATAACTGAGCTCTATGTGGCATTTCCTGCATAGAAACAGTGTTTTAAACATCCTCTTATAAACACTGAAAATTAGAATGTGTACAACTGACTAAATGTGAAATAAATAATACAGAAATACTATCAAAGGTAAACGTAAGAGCTTTACTCACTTTTGAGTTGTGGTAAGTCTTGAATTTTGAACTCTCCCACTTTCCAACGATGAGTTTCCAAATAATTGCCCAGGGGGCCACAGTTACTTAAAGCCAACAGCTCAGGGGCAGAAGTATTATCCTCCTTCACCATTTAAATGTGTTTCTTTTGTTGCATTGAATCATAAATTTAAAGTTTATCATTGATATAAAAGCTATTTTGATGTTAGATAATAAAAATAAATTTAAAAAATGTGGGGTGGGCTTTGGTGGGCTGGATGGAAGTAAATAGCCCACGGCCTTTAATTTGACACATGAGCTACAGGGTCTGCAGTACAAATAATCATAAACTACTAAATAACATTGTAATGCAAAACAGTAATATAAAGGTTTGGAATACAAGGTTTGCATGATTTATTATGGAATATTGGAAATTGGAGCTTTTTTATTTTAGAACAAAGGTTATCTACGTTGGTTTTGATCTGACTAGACGTTAGCTCATCTCTCCAGTCAAAACTCTTTTTAATCTTTCCAAATAGAGGTTGTTCTGAGTGCCATGTGCTACAGGTAAGACACAAAATACTACTTCAATACATTAAAATGTATGTATGGGGCAGCTGTGGTGGAGTGGTTAGGGAAGTTATCAGGGGATTCATCCTGTAACTGAAGGGTTGCCGGTTCAATTCCCTGTTCCAGCCTTATCAGTCATTTTGTCCTTGGGTAAGACACTTCCCTTGCCTTGCCTGGTGGTCAGAGGGTCACAATGTGCCCCTGGGCAACTGTGGCTACAATGTAACTTATCACCATCAGTGTGTGAATGGGTGAATGACTGTAAAGTGTTTTGGGGTCCGATGGGTCTTGATAATTTCAGCCCATTTATTTATTTATTTGACTTCTATTATATACATTTGCTAAAATCTCTGAGGTCACTGGACTTGTCCGAGACAAAAATGTTTTGGTCAAAAGGTGCGTCTTTTAGTTTAACGTCACTAAAAATATATGAACTGCTCTCTCTATTTCCGCTTTTTTACAGTTTTACTACAAGGTAATCAGTTCAGTAACAAGTGGTAGATAATGTAATGGCTAAATTGATGTAAAGTCTGAAATAATATTTTAGCTTCAAGGTTTTGTCAGAGTTTTTTAAAGAAAACAAGAAGCCATATCTGGTATTACTCTCATTGACTAATAATGAGAACATTTTTTAGCTTTTGACCATTTTAGCTTAACGTGTCACAATAAAGTGAATTTGCAGTCAAATGTGTTTTCTGAGCAAAATCTAGAAATGATTACTTTTTAATCCACTCATATAACACAGATGGAACGTAATGGAGACCATACTGTTACTTTCAAAGAAAGGTGTTAGATCTTAATGGAAATATGGTATTTTGAAAGGTGGTATAAAAAAATCAACATTACCTGTGCCTGTGGAGGTAAATGAAGTGAGTTATAAAAAATAAGATTTTAATGTAAGAATGCAACAGGCAATATCATGGCATGATGCTTGAAAGTAACAAGATGCAGATGAGATGGTAGGAATAAGGGATGATGAAACTGGTTGTCTACATCCACCTGATGATGCAGCATTTTTCTGAGGTTATTCTGAGGGGAGCTTATGTAACATGCTCAATATGCTAAACTGGGCTGCTTGTTCCTTTTTTTGTTTTGTTTTTTGTTTAGCTAAGATGATGAAACCTTTGCAAGTGTGCAGGTTTTAAAAAATAACAATTCATTTCACAAGATGGATACCCATCCTTTCAGGCATCTTAGACCGACCAATCCAGCATTTTATTACAGAGACAAACATCGGTTGCTCAGCAAAATTAGGATTTTGAAGTTTTAGAGGGGAAAGAAAAAAAAAGTGTCACATTCTCGTCTTCTTGTAACAAGGGGCAGTAAAATGGGAAGGCGGGGTAAAGAGGCGAGGGTTAATCCGAGACAATGCAGATGTGAGAAGGGGGAGACAGGGAGAGTAGAGAGAAGTGTCCACACTATGTGCATGGCATAAACACAGAGCTGCGCAAGAATACATGAGACACAAGTAGAGGAGGACAAGGCATTTTAAAGATGGGTGCTGGATGGGACACAGCGGGACAAGGAGTAGCCAGGACATCAACAGGAGACCATGGGTCAACCAACTTCTGAGAGGGGTGGGGGAGATTTTGTGGGGGTTGACGGGAGGATCAGACAACATGCAAAAGCAAATCTGAAGTGCAACCACCACTGAAAAAATATGAGAGTTTATACCTTTCAGACTAATGAAAAAGAAAGAAGCATTCTTTGTGTTTCTGTGAGAAATAAAATACTAGAAATGCCTTCAAACCGGCCTACCTTTGAGAGTGGTTTTTTTTCTTCTTAATATCAGCTAGGCAGGGTGTGACTATTACGGAGATCTGTGAATCTGGCTGAAAATTCTGACGAAAACATCTGTCAACATGCAGACAGGTTGAGTTAGAGTTTAAAAAAAAGTGCGACGGTTACCCCCACCTGTGACATCCCCACCCCCTGCTAACTAAAGAAAAAATAATAATGCGAATGTGGTGCTGCTTCTGCTGCTTGTGTTCTTTCTTAAAAGAGACTCTCGTGAGCGTACAGCCCAGTCCACGCATGCAGGGCTGGGTCACTTCCTTTCACTCCTTTCTCTCTTCTTCTTCTTCACCGCGCGCACACACACACACACACACACACACACACACACACACACAC